ATGGAACGTGGATACACCGTGTAACACATCAATGCCAGGGGTGAATTGATGCCCTCTTATGTAACAAGAGATCCTTGTTTATTTCTACAAACAAAGCTAATCACTGATGACCTTTATCAAATGTATGGTTTGAGGCACATTCAGAAAAATTTTTACGGTCTGGGAAGTTTGTGATAGGGTCGGTCATGACCGTAAACACACATATATTTTTAATTTCTTTTGCCTCATGGTAATACTTTAAGCAGAAAACAAAAAACGCATTTGGTTTTTCAAGGCATTTGACGTCAAGGAAGCACAAATTGATCTCAGCGTGGGTATCAAGAAGTATGTATATTACACTTATTTCACAAGTAAGATATTATCAAATCCTATGCAACTTCTGGAAAAGTAATCAACTTCTGCATTTTTCCAACCCAAAAAGGTAATTGACATGGGGACATGTTGCATTTGTTCCTTTTCCTTTTTTCCTTTTATTTATTAAACAATGTGCAATGTTGGCGTTACCAAGCCATCAAGGTTGAAGCAAAAAGCTGTGATCAGTTACAATAGAACAGTTGTTAAAGAATATTGTTTGGAATGAAAATTTAAATGAAATGTTAGCGAATCAAAAATTTTTTTTTTTTATCTTGAATAGCCAGAAAAAGAAAGTCAGATTTGCTGATATTCTTATAGATAGCATTAACAATTATGTCTGTCTCAAAATTTGTTTCTACAAAATACACAAACAATTTTTGTTGTTGGTATGAAACACTTATGAAATCAAGGTCTTAAGGTGATGCACTGAGGTTGCTTTCTAAAGTGAAGACATATTTCCTGTACACTTTAGGCTTTTGATATTAGAATACCACACATATGTGAGGCTTTGGGGAGTAAAAATACCCATATAATAGATAAAGTAAACAAAATGTTCATCACGTATGCATTCAGAGCTACAGATAAGTTTTTGAGTCATTGAGTTAAGTACTCGCTTGTGTTCATGTCAATTGGGTATCCTAATTTTCCTTTGAGTAACCAAATAAATTGTACTCACCTCACTCAAATTCAATTGGGTATTTTGCCATTTTCCATTAATTTTTAAAATATAATGAAGTTTAAATGTTAGTGTTTGTTATTTATATTTGATCTGTAATATGAAAAACGGTAAGAAAGACTGCAAGTTGTCAAGTTCATGTCCTGAAATAGAACCTCCCAATATACCTCAGTTATTTTATCTATCCACTGTTACGCAAGCTAAGATTTGACATTTTTGTATGTACGCATGTAAGATCACATATACTGAGTATTTACAAAAATTCAAGCGTACTTGTACGCAATACACTTAATAGGAATTGAGTTTTCACATAAATATTTGCGTAATTTACGCAGATACACAGCTTATCTGTACCTCTGTGCGTTTGAATTACATAAAAGCGTGCCTGCTGATGTCCTGCATGATGAAAGGGGGAAGCTTTCTTTGGACATAATGATCAATAAAAAAGTTTGATCATCCAAATTCGAAATAAAATTTTGGTTGTTGGTACACAATTTTTGGGACCAATATATTAGGTACTTTCCCTGCCTACTCTAAAGGTTGCAAGTTTCATCTAACAGGAAAGTAAGTGGCATTTGTTGTTTCACTTTTTATAATTCGAGACATTTCCTTTTAAGGTATGCATTATAAGTTAAAATGCAAATCAAAATCTCCAATCGAAATACATTCTACTGCGATATTGATTGGTGCAGACAGACTGCAAACAGAATATCCTCGGTACAGAGGGACTGAAAACAGAACACCCTTGGGACAGATGGACTTAAAACAGAAAATCCTTGGGACAGATGGACTGCAAACAGAATATCCTTGGGACAGATGGACTGCAAACACAATGTCATTGGGACAGATGGACTGCAAACAAAATATCCCTGGGGCAGATGGACTGCAAACAAAATATCCTTGGGATAGATGGACTGCAATTAGAATACCCTTGGGATAGATGGACTGCAATCAGAATACCCTTGGGATAGATGGACTGCAATTAGAATACCCTTGGGAGAGATAGACTACAGACAGAATATCCTTGGAACAGAGGGACTGCAATTAGAACACCCTTGGGACAGATGGAAAGCAATTAGAATACCCTTGGGATAGATGGACTGCAATTAGAATACAATTGGGACAGATGGACAGCAATTAGAATACCCTTGGGATAGATGGACTGCAATTAGAATACCCTTGGGATAGATGGACTGCAATTAGAATACCCTTGGGATAGATGGACTGCAATTAGAATACCCTTGGGACAGATGGACTGCAGACAGAATATCCTTGGGACAGATGGACTGCAATTAGAATACCCTTGGGACAGATGGACTGCAATTAGAATATCCTTGGGGACAGCAGATGGACTGCACTTAGAAATTAGAATACTGCAATCAGAATAGATTTGGGACAGATAGACTGCAGACAGAATATCCTTGGGATAGATGGACTGCAAACAGAATATCCTTGGGATAGATGGACTGCAATTAGAATACCCTTGGGATAGATGGACTGCAGACAGAATACCCTTGGGACAGATGGACTCCAGACAGAATATCCTTGGGACAGATGGACTGCAATTAGAATACCCAAGGGACAAATGGACTGCAATTAGAATACCCTTGGGACAGATGGACTGCAATTAGAATACCCTTGGGATAGATGGACTGCAATTAGAATACCCTTGGGACAGATGGACTGCAATTAGAATACCCTTGGGATAGATGGACTGCAGACATAATACCCTTGGGACAGATGGACTGCAGACAGAATATCCTTGGGACAGATGGACTGCAATTAGAATACCCAAGGGACAGATGGACTGCAATTAGAATATCCTTGGGACAGATGGACTCCAGACAGAATATACTTGGGACACATGGACTGCAATTAGAATACCCTTGGGACAGATGGACAGCAATTAGAATATCCTTGGGACAGATGGACAGCAATTAGAATACCCTTGGGACAGATAGACTGCAAACAAAATATCCTTGGGACAGAGGGACTGCAATTAGAATACCCTTGGGACAGATGGACTGCAGACAGAATATCCGTGGGACAGATGGACTGCAATTAGAATACCCTTGGGACAGATGGACTGCAGACAGAATACCCGTGGGGACAGATGGACTGCAATTAGAATATCCTTGGGACAGATGGACTGCAAACAGAATATCATTGGGACAGATGGACTGCAGACAGAATATCCTGTGGGACAGATGGACTGCAATTAGAATACCCTTGGGATAGATGGACTGCAGATTAGAATACCCTTGGGACAGATGGACTGCAAACAGAATATCCAAGGGACAGATGGACTGCAATTAGAATACCCAAGGACAGATGGACTGCAATTAGAATATCCTTGGGACAAATGGACTGCAGACAGAATATCCTTGGGACAGATGGACTGCAATTAGAATATCCTTGGGACAGATGGACTGCAATTAGAATATCCTTGGGACAGATGGACTGCAATTAGAATATCCTTGGGAAAATGGACTGGACTATCCATGGGACAGATGGACTGCAATTAGAATACCCTTGGGACAGATGGACTGCAGACAGAATATCCTTGGGACAGATGGACTGCAATTAGAATACCCTTGGGACAGATGGACTGCAATTAGAATATCCTTGGGACAGATGGACTGCAATTAGAATATCCTTTGGGGACTGCAATTAGAATATATCCTGGACAGCAATTAGAATATCCTTGGGACAGATGGACTGCAAACAAAATATCCATGGGGCAGATGGACTGCAATAAGAATACCCTTGGGACAGATGGACTCCAGACAGAATACCCTTGGAATAGATGGACTGCAATTAGAAAATCAATTGGGACAGATGGACTGCAAACAGAATATCCGTTGGGACAGATGGACTGCAATTAGAATACCCAAGGGACAGATGGACTGCAATTAGAATATCCTTGGGACAGATGGACTGCAAACAGAATATCATGGGGACAGATGGACTGCAAACAAAATATCCCTTGGGACAGATGGACTGCAAACAAAATATCCATGGGGCAGATGGCCTGCAATTAGAATGCCCTTGGGACAGATGGACTGCACACAGAATATCCTTGGGACAGATGGACTGCTATTTGAATACCCAAGATGGGACAGATGGACTGCAATTAGAATATCCTTGGGACAAATGGACTGCAAACAGAATATCCTTGGGACAGATGGACTGCAAACAGAATATCCTTGGGACAGATGGACTGCAAACAGAATATCCTTGGGACAGATGGACTGCAAACAGAATACCCTTGGGACACATGGACTGCAATTAGAATACCCTTGGGACAGATGGACTGCAATTAGAATATCCTTGGGACAGATGGACTGCAAACAAAATATCCTTGGGACAGATGGACTGCAAACAGAATATCCTTGGGACAGATGGACTGCAATTAGAATACCCTTGGGACAGATGGACTGCAGACAGAATATCCTTGGGACAGATGGACTGCTCAGAATATCCTTGGGACTGCAATAGAATACCCTTGGGACAGATGGACTGCAATTAGAATACCCTTGGGATAGATGGACTGCAATTAGAATACCCTTGGGACAGATGGACTGCAGACAGAACATCTGTGGGACAGATGGACTGCAATTAGAATACCCTTGGGACAGATGGACTGCAATTAGAATATCCTTCGGACACATGGACTGCAATTAGAATACCCTTGGGGCAGAGGGACGGCAATTAGAATATCCTTGGGACAGATGGACTGAAACTTGAATACCCTTGGGACAGATGACTGTATATACAATATCCCCTGGGAGGTTTTTTCTATGAAAATAATGTCCTGTAAAACAAACCAGAGGTTCAAAGAACTATATCAGTGTGCATTTGAAAATCACTAATTCTGATACAGGGATATCGTTGACATATGTTGCAGATGTGCTGAATTTTGGTCTTGGAAAAGGTCCTGACCCCAGAATGATATTGGTGGCACACCTACCTGACATTTGCATCCATGACTCTGTCATACTGCTCAAGGGATGTGTTCTCAATGCTACCCAGCTCTATGATACCTGCACAGTTCACCTGTAAAGACAACCCTTGCATCATGTACACAGTGTTACAGACATTTTCCATGTGCTTCAGAAAGTTTATAAAGTGATCAGTAATGTTCTGTGAAACTTTGTTATGGTGAAAGAAAACTAATTTGTATGTGGATTGATACTATATAGGAGATGAAATATGAACATCAGAACAGGGTCAGAACAGTATTTGAGCAGTGTCAGAACAGTATTTGAACAGTGTCAGAACAGTATTTGAACAGTGTCAGAACAGTATTTGAACAGTGTCAGAACAGTATTTGAACAGTGTCAGAACAGTATTTGAACAGTGTCAGAACAGTATTTGAACAGGGTCAGAACAGTATTTGAACAGTGTCAGAACAGTATTTGAACAGGGTCAGAACAGCATTTGAACAGGGTCAGAACAGTATTTGAACAGGGTCAGAACAGTATTTGAACAGTGTCAGAACAGTATTTGAAACAGGGTCAGAACAGTATTTAAACAGTGTCAGAACAGCATTTGAACAGGGTCAGAACAGCATTTGAACAGGGTCAGAACAGCATTTGAACAGTGTCAGAACAGTATTTGAACAGTGTCAGAACAGTATTTGAACAGGGTCAGAACAGTATTTGAACAGTGTCAGAACAGTATTTGAACAGTGTCAGAACAGCATTTGAACAGTGTCAGAACAGTATTTGAACAGGGTCAGAACAGCATTTGAACAGTGTCAGAACAGTATTTGAACAGTGTCAGAACAGTATTTGAACAGTATCAGAACAGTATTTGAACAGTGTCAGAACAGTATTTGAACAGTGTCAGAACAGTATTTGAACAGTGTCAGAACAGTATTTGAACAGTGTCAGAACAGTATTTGAACAGTGTCAGAACAGTATTTGAACAGTGTCAGAACAGTATTTGAACAGTGTCAGAACAGTATTTGAACAGTGTCAGAACAGTATTTGAACAGGGTCAGAACAGTATTTGAACAGTGTCAGAACAGTATTTGAACAGTGTCAGAACAGTATTTGAACAGGGTCAGAACAGTATTTGAACAGTGTCAGAACAGTATTTGAACAGTGTCAGAACAGTATTTTGAACAGGGTCAGAACAGTATTTGAACAGTCAGAACAGTATTTGAACAGGGTCAGAACAGCATTTGAACAGTGTCAGAACAGCATTTGAACAGGGTCAGAACAGTATTTGAACAGTGTCAGAACAGCATTTGAACAGGGTCAGAACAGCATTTGAACAGTGTCAGAACAGTATTTGAACAGTGTCAGAACAGCATTTGAACAGGGTCAGAACAGCATTTGAACAGTGTCAGAACAGTATTTGAACAGTGTCAGAACAGTATTTGAACAGTGTCAGAACAGTATTTGAACAGGGTCAGAACAGCATTTTGAACAGGGTCAGAACAGTATTTGAACAGTGTCAGAACAGTATTTGAACAGTGTCAGAACAGTATTTTGAACAGGGTCAGAACAGCATTTAAACAGTGTCAGAACAGTATTTGAACAGTCAGAACAGTCAGAACAGTATTTGAACAGTGTCAGAACAGTATTTGAACAGGGTCAGAACAGCATTTTTGAACAGGGTCAGAACAGTATTTGAACAGTGTCAGAAACAGTGTCAGATTTGAACAGTGTCAGAACAGTATTTGAACAGTGTCAGAACAGTATTTGAACAGTGTCAGAACAGTATTTGAACAGTGTCAGAACAGTATTTGAACAGGGTCAGAACAGTATTTGAACAGAAACAGTATTTGAACAGTGTCAGAACAGCAGTATTTGAACAGTGTCAGAACAGTATTTGAACAGTGTCAGAACAGTATTTGAACAGGGTCAGAACAGCATTTGAACAGGGTCAGAACAGTATTTGAACAGTGTCAGAACAGTATTTGAACAGTGTCAGAACAGTATTTGAACAGTGTCAGAACAGTATTTGAACAGTGAACAGTATCAGAACAGTATTTGAACAGTGTCAGAACAGTATTTGAACAGTGTCAGAACAGTATTTGAACAGTGTCAGAACAGTATTTGAACAGGTCAGTCAGAACAGTATTTTAAACAGTGTCAGAACAGTATTTGAACAGTGTCAGAACAGTATTTGAACAACAACAGTGTCAGAACAGTATTTGAACAGGGTCAGAACAGTATTTGAACAGTGTCCAGAACAGTGTCAGAACAGTATTTGAACAGGGTCAGAACAGTATTTTGAACAGTGTCAGAACAGTATTTGAACAGTGTCAGAACAGTATTTGAACAGTGTCAGAACAGTATTTGAACAGTGTCAGAACAGTATTTGAACAGTGTCAGAACAGTATTTGAACAGTGTCAGAACAGTATTTGAACAGTCAGTCAGAAACAGTATTTTGAACAGTGTCAGAACAGTATTTGAACAGTGTCAGAACAGCATTTAAACAGTGTCAGAACAGCATTTGAACAGTGTCAGAACAGTATTTGAACAGTGTCAGAACAGTATTTGAACAGTGTCAGAACAGTATTTGAACAGTGTCAGAACAGTATTTGAACAGTGTCAGAACAGCATTTGAACAGTGTCAGAACAGTATTTGAACAGGGTCAGAACAGTATTTGAACAGTGTCAGAACAGTATTTGAACAGTGTCAGAACAGTATTTAAACAGTGTCAGAACAGTATTTGAACAGTGTCAGAACAGTATTTGAACAGTGTCAGAACAGTATTTGAACAGTGTCAGAACAGTATTTAAACAGTGTCAGAACAGCATTTGAACAGTGTCAGAACAGTATTTGAACAGTGTCAGAACAGTATTTGAACAGTGTCAGAACAGTATTTGAACAGTGTCAGAACAGTATTTGAACAGTGTCAGAACAGTATTTGAACAGTGTCAGAACAGCATTTGAACAGTGTCAGAACAGTATTTGAACAGTGTCAGAACAGTATTTGAACAGTCAGAACAGTATTTGAACAGGGTCAGAACAGTATTTGAACAGTGTCAGAACAGTATTTGAACAGTGTCAGAACAGTATTTGAACAGTGTCAGAACAGTATTTGAACAGTGTCAGAACAGCATTTGAACAGTGTCAGAACAGTATTTAAACAGTGTCAGAACAGTATTTGAACAGTGTCAGAACAGCATTTGAACAGGGTCAGAACAGTATTTGAACAGGGTCAGAACAGTATTTGAACAGTGTCAGAACAGTATTTGAACAGTGTCAGAACAGCATTTGAACAGTGTCAGAACAGCATTTGAACAGGGTCAGAACAGTATTTGAACAGTGTCAGAACAGTATTTGAACAGTGTCAGAACAGTATTTGAACAGTGTCAGAACAGTATTTGAACAGTGTCAGAACAGCATTTGAACAGTGTCAGAACAGTATTTGAACAGGGTCAGAACAGTATCAGAACAGTATTTGAACAGTAGAACAGTCAGAACAGTATTTGAACAGTGTCAGAACAGTATTTGAACAGTGTCAGAACAGTATTTAAACAGGGTCAGAACAGTATTTAAACAGTGTCAGAACAGTATTTGAACAGTGTCAGAACAGCATTTGAACAGGGTCAGAACAGTATTTGAACAGTGTCAGAACAGTATTTGAGCAGTGTCAGAACAGTATTTGAACAGGGTCAGAACAGTATTTGAACAGTGTCAGAACAGTATTTGAACAGTGTCAGAACAGTGTCAGAACAGTATTTGAACAGTGTCAGAACAGGGTCAGAACAGTATTTGAACAGTGTCAGAACAGTATTTTAACAGTGTCAGAACAGGGTCAGAACAGTATTTGAACAGTGTCAGAACAGTATTTTAACAATGTCAGAACAGTATTTGAACAGGGTCAGAATAGCAACAGAAAAGAATCAGTTAATGGAACTCAAGTTATCTCTGAATTGTGTAGTTTACTAACAAACCTTCTCAGTGTTTCAACTATACAACGTCTATATTTAATATGCAATGGTTTAGTCACATGACAGTAACCTCAGAGTAGTAGTCCGTCAACTTCACTCTTCGCGACCAGTTTTAGCACTGTAATTCGTCTGAGTATGTTTGTTTATTATCATCATCCCATGTATATGATACCAGTGTGGTAACCCTTCTGAATAGTGTTGCTAGTCATTGTGGGGAATTAGCTCAGCAAAGAGGTGAGGTGAGGTGAAATTGGGTTTTACGTCGTGCTTGAGAATATTTCGCTCATATGACGACGTGCATGCATGTGTATGTGCTGCTGCTTGTACTAGCCCAGACTTAAGCTGGTTTTATAGTGCTAGCCCACTGAGATACCATGCCGCAGTGAAGCATGAATACCCCACTCAGACACATATATACTGACTCCGAGCCGACCAGTCCTTGTTGTACCCATTAATGCCGAGCGCAAGGAAGGGACCAACAAGTACCATATTTTAACGTCTTTTGGTATGACGCGTTCGGGGATCAAACCCGCGACCTTCCGCTCTCCGGGAGAACGCTCTAACCACTACACCACGGAGGCGGTCCCAGCTCAGCAGAGAAGTCACAGGAATCCAATTAAAGTTTTATTTACAAGAATGGAAGAACATATAACTAGAGTGGCCACAGAGAGTCAGTACAACCCTCTGGGCTGAGTGCTGCAGCTAACCAGCACCGGGAAGCCCTACTGGCAAACATTTTGATTTCCTAACTATTTATTCAAAATTGAGCCAATAAAAAGATTATGGTTGATTGATGATACAAAATGGGTTGTGCCCTACAATGCTCTGCAATAGATGAAATGACCAGACTGACAGGAGTACTATAATCCTTCAATATTCTTGTTGGCACATTTACTGGATGCTTGGATAAATTGATAGTATTACAGTGAACATGCATACACGTGGCCTTTTCTTAATTAGCCAAATTGAAGTATTTGTTTTAGGTTGTTCCAATATAGGTAATGATATTTTTACTGTATAAAATAAAACAAGGCAATTTATAAAACATTGTAGGCATAGTTTTTGTGTAACTGAGAAGTGGGCTAAAGAGAGAAGTCCTTGTTACCTTAGGCTAGGATTTATCTGAAACATCTATTAAA